AGTTAATTGTTTATATATTAGAGTAAAACAAAATCTATAATAGAATTAAAATAAAATAAAATGTTTTCATTTTTATTGAAATATTGTTTGATATAGAAAAATTTGATTCAACTGAATATCTTTATTTGAATGACAAGATATCACTTCAGAATAAATTTGCAAAAAAAAANCAAATATATCTAAAATAGTTTTAGGGTCTAGTCATATATGGTTTTGTAGAGAATTTCAAGCGCTATTTTTTGATAAAAAAAGAATGTTTTAATCAAAGGGATAATAGAGGAGAAATCTTAAAAATACACAGAGGTCGGTTCTTTATGCCCCACCCGTTAATACTTCAAACAAAAAAACAGGCAAAGATTCATTTAGCAAAAAAATATTTGATGCTTTTTCATGGACATCATTTGTGCTTTTCATTAGTGTTCCCGTACATTTAAAACTAATATATCGTTGTTTATCAAAGCACACAGGTAATGTTTCGAGCAAAAGAAATAGATGTAAAGATTCATTTATTCATAAATATTTTACGCAGTTTAGTGTAGATTATTTTGCTTTTCATTAGTCTTCATTTATATTTCAAACTGATAGACACTTGTTTATAAAATCTTACTGGTTAAATTTCGAACTTAAAAACTATATGTAAAGATCCATACATGCCATAGTATTTCATAATTCTTTATCAATATAATTTTGCTTTTCAGTAGCGCCCGTTTGCATCTACAATCGATGGGATTTTATTTTTCAGATGAGACATATGAAATTTATTAAGAAGAAGTAATCAGCTCTTCGTGCAATATCAGTTCGTTTATTTTATTTCTTTTCATGGAAATCATTTAATCTTTTGATGTTACTTGTTAAGAGAATGGTGGAATTATTATTTATTGATAAGAAAGGATAGGCAAATATCTTTTTCGAAATAGCCGATAAATATTTTACTGTTTTAATGGCTGTAGGACTTCTTTTATTTTCAGGTGTTGACTTTGAAGTAAATTTAAATGTGTCTTGGATGATTGCGTCGTATATGAATTTTTCGTATTCTGTTTCCTGACTAATCTTTTATGTTATTTTTATGTACACGGTGCAATGTATAAGCAACATCGATGAATCTACAATAAGTAAACTTTTAAAATATTCTTCTATTTTGCTGGGTTGTATCTAGATCATTTTTCGAATCCAGAAAATACCAGTTTCTGTGATTGATCGAGAGAGCATTTCCTTAAAAAGATCTGATACGAATCGAAACAGCTCGAGATCAGACAGATCTCAGGATTATGTGCTATCTGACTTCTTGAGAATATGAATAATGAAATTAAATAAAGTTAGAAAAATTCGAAGTTTACTTTTCTCAAAAAAAGAATGAAAAATGTGTCGGAAGGAGCATTTCTTATTGTACAATGTGTCGCTAATTACGACAGATGTGATGCATTGTAACTTAGTGTGTCTCCGGAAAATAATACAAAGAAAAGACGAGAGGAATGTTGGGTATTTTTACACTATAAATTGAAGTGATTGTTTCGCCATACACTATGATAGGTATGTTCTAGGGATGACTTAGAGGTTGTATTTCAACTTGAAAAACTTCACAGTAGATTTATTCATTTAAGTTTTAAAATATATTAGTGAGTATAATAATTCTTTTAATACCCTGTTCCCCTTGTATTTAGAAATCAAGTCAACAGCTCTGAACCCGAAATGTTGATCGAAGTATATTGTAAATACGACAAGCTTTGTTAAAGCAAATAGCTTTTCAAAAGAATATTGATAGAATGGAGAGGATGCAAGTCTGTTAAAGCTTCTTTCATTAGCACTGCAACTAACTTACTGATTGATTAATGATAGCAAGATCATTTTTTCGAGTGAAAATTCTTTTTTGAGTAGTAGTGTACCAAATCAAGCAAATTTCAAACAAAACTGAATACAAAGATTTTTTCCGATACAATTGTATTTAATTTGTTCGCTACAAAGCAAGTTTTTTAGAATTGACTAATCTGTTAGCACCTGTACTCTAATTTAGAGCTAGTTCTTGTAACAAAGAACCTAAACAAACCTTGAAAATTAGAAAAAAACAAAAATAATCTCTTGAAAATTTAAATGCAAGTTGATTTGACATTCAAACAAAGAGAATAAGTTGTTTTTTTCATGCACTCAAGAAAAGAAGATTGAAAATCACTATAAATAGGAGTACCAATTAGAATTTAGTTATCATAATTATTTTTCTTTAAATAGTTAGGATGATTCATAAGAAAAGGATCTGATCTCATATTTTCATACATGAAATGTGGAAAAATCTTCTTTTTTACTAACATATAGAGCATATTTTGCTCTATCTTTCTATTCCATTTTAACACTATTCAACTGATATTGTTTTAGTTAAGTTTCGATAAGAATTCGCTTTTGAGAAACTCTATCTGATACAAATAGTGCACATTATGATCAATGCATGTTTTCTTTACATTTTTTTTCTTTTATTTTTCTTTGCTTATCTTTTCTAGTAACAAGGCGTTCAAATACTTTACAATGCACAAAGAATAATGCAGGTATTAGAACAAAGACATATACAAACAAGTTCAACGATTGTTTTTGTTATCGAATGTTCAAAATAATCACTTCGGTTATCTAAACACAATTGTTTTCTTTCAATTTATTTCTTGAGTGTTTTTATATTTTCTATTTTATTTTCAGAACATATGAACACACTTGCAACATTGTATAATAATTCTGAGTCATTTTGGTAAGATTCTCCTTTATTAAATGGAATAACCAAAAGTCGCATGATGATAGATCAGAAGAATTAGGTGCGTGTGACATTATTGTGAGGACTCCCGATTCAAGAAAATTAAACACATATTTATGAATATGTAGTCTTTCATTAACATGGTGAATTTTCATACGACCAATGACATATGAAGGTTTTTGACATTTGGTATTGTCAATGGGAGATTAAAAATAATCAATGATATAGTACTAGTGGTCAATACAATAGCTTGGTCTTGTTTCTTACAATGAATGGAGATATTTTTTTCTTCTTATTCATATGGCATTTAATGATTTTCGACTAATTTTTCTACGATAAAACTACGATCCATCACCAGTTATTATATCATAAAAATGCTATGTTGCTTCTTGAAACTTTGCTAAATTTTGTTTGAATATTCTTACTCTTTCAGTGCGTTAAAAACTGGCCGAAGTCTTGAAAATATAGCAAGCGGTAATCTTCTTCAGGTTTTAGATGATGAGTGGTGATTTGCTGAATAGCATCATAGCTTAAACCAATTTGGTTTGGCAGCTCTTCTATTGTAATGTAAAGATCATCATTTATCAGCAGAAGAGCCTGTTCAATATTTCCAGGTGTTATTGCGGTAACAGATCTGCCAGATCGTGCTTCACCTTCAGCTTCTTTTCAGCCTTCACGAAACCGCCTAGTCTATCTTTCAACTGTACGAAAAGAGAGAACTTAATCACTACAGATAGAATATAGTTCATCATATATCACTCTTTCTGAGATTGTATATGCTGAAAATACTTAAATATAAAAGCAGAAGATTTCTGTATTCATCTACAACAAATGAATATAGCTAAAGTTTAATCCTTCCTAGGTGATCTGTTGCAAATCTTATACTAATGTAAAGTGATTAGAGAATTAAACTGCACAAAACTAAACTATTCATCTGAAGTAGGTGATATACGTACACAAGCTCGAACACTAAAGAACATTCCAGATGATTATAAGTCAGTTTCAAGAAAAGATATGGATAAATCTATCAAGAGAAAAATAATTATAGAACAGAGAAAAGAAAATACACTTGAATGACCTGAACATTGAAAAATAAGAGAGAGAAATATAACAATTTTTCTAGAAAGAATCGGTGAATAAAGAGAAAAATGAAAAGAAAACATACATCAATCATTATATGCACCATTTGTACCAGGTGAAGTTTTTCAAAAGAAGTTGTCCTGAAAATTTTATTATTATAATATAAGTTAAATAGTAACCAGATAGCATAGAAAGAGAGAAGAAAATGTGCTATGTCCGTTTGTAAAAAAGCAAAGTTATCTAATTACTGTATACAAAAATATAAGATCAGATTTATTACTTTTCGATTGACCTAAATAGTTGCCAAATATTTTATAATCAAAAGGATCAAAATAATTTGCTGCTGTTTTTCTAAGTTCAGAAGTATTTCTGAAATTTATCATTCCTCAAATAGAGGTTATTTTTTTCTTTTTGTTTTTGACTCTCTTATTGTATTATTGACCATATTTAAAACTTCTCTATTGGAATGCCAAAATCCTTATTATAAACCCTTCATCTATAAGATGATTTTTTGATAGGTAATATTCGAAATTCATAAATATCTTTATGAATATTTTCCAAAATATTTACAAACATTTAATAAAAATTTAAAAAAAAGGCGCCGTGTCTTTATAAGTTAAACATAAACAGATTGTTCTCAAAGCTGATGAGCCAACCAATTTTAATCGAAATATAGATTTATGTTTGAATCTGCGCTTAAAAGAATCTTTCGTGAGAACGATCATTCGATGTAAAATAATATTTTAGATATTGTTAACTTTTTCAAAGGCTTTTTGAAAATGCTTATTATTAAAAGAGAAAAAACAGCATAAGATTATAAAAATTATGAAAAAGATTACAATATTTAAATAGACATATGAAGTTCATCGAAAATGTTTTGCTTGAAAGTAAAAACATACATGGAAATAAATAACCAAACTTGAATATTTTTGAAAAATAAAGTTCAATCTATTTGTTGTATAAGAAGAAAAAGTTCATCAAAGTTGTTCTTTCATTTTTTTTTTGCAAATTTATTCTGAAGTGATATCTTGTCATTCAAATAAAGATATTCAGTTGAATCAAGTTTTTCTCTATCAAACAATATTTCAATAAAAATAAAAACATTTTATTTTATTTTAATTCTATTATAGATTTTGCTTTGCTCTAATATATAAACGATTAACTTTATTTGTGTCATTATCAATAATCAATGTTATTCTTCTTGAACTTTCGATGCTTATTATTAAATATTTTACTTGTACAATTAAACATCGATAATATTATGTCCATTTGGCCATCATCAAATGAATCTGATATCTATTTACTCGGCCTTTTTGCTTATACACCAGATGCATCTGATAATGACGACCTAGCTATTCATTCTCGGGCAATGTTTAAGGCGGCAGTACTGCTTTCTAATCAATATAATATAACAATCGATGGAAAATTGATCGGATGGAAAGAAGGACTAACTATGGGCGATGAAATAGTTGCATTGAATGAGACATGCCTTTCAATATCTGAATCAAATATAGTTAGCATTGTTGGTCCAGAATTTTCAAGAGAAACTCTTTTAATTAGTCCACTTTGTAAAAAGCTTAATTTACCCGTTATATCGTATTCTGCAACTGATCCTGATTTATCTGATGCAACAACTTACTCTAATTTCTATCGTACAGTTCCATCAGATGATATAATAGCATTAGCTCTGCTTAAGTTATTCAACCGATTTAATTGGGCATCATGTTTAATTATTTATCAAGATGATGCATTTGGATCTGGCGGAGCGAAAGTTATTAATGAATTATTTAATGCTAGCAATATAAAAGTAGTACAAATGATTGTCTATGATATGGTCAAAAAAAGTATTCGTGGCAATTTGAAAACTTATCTGATGAATAGTCCATCAAGAATTGTTATTTTATGGGCTGACTCAATCTCTACATCATCAATAGTGCAAAATGCTCTCGATTCTAATGTTGTTGGTCCACTTTTTACATGGATAATTACTTCAGAGATTTTATTGAATTCTTTCAATGAAAGTTATTATGACGATTTAGTTGGAATGCTTTTAATCGAACCAGTTGTTGCATCAGTTGTTGGTGCACCATATAATACTGAATTATTAAATGCAGCATATAATATATGGCAAATATATGAAAATGAAACATTTCCAGGATCAACACATGTTAATTATTATGCATTATTTTCATTTGATGCAACATGGGCACTTATTAAATCCTTAGAAGAATTATGTTCATCAAAAATAAATAATTCTTCTTCATCATGTTTATCATTTAGTAAATCTTCATTCTGTTTTAATTTTCGCTTCAATCAGTATGATTCATTGTTATCAATACTTGCTAGAACAAACTTTCTTGGTGTATCCGGTTTTGTAGGATTTAGCTATAATACTACAAATCGAATAAATGGTTCATATTATATTTTAAAAAACATTCAAGCATCTGCAAATGGTTTGAACTTCGTATCTGTATTAGAATATATTGGTTCTGGGTATTGGAGAATAACTATAACACAAAATCCTATTTTATGGCCAAGAAATTCGTTAACACCATCTGTTGATCGAGCAGTTCTTCGAGGAGTAAGTTTACGAATTGGAATAGCTGAATCAGCTCCATTTGGAATGCTTCAGAATGTGACAGATGAAAACGGACAAACTACAATACAATATACTGGCTATGCGATTGATCTTTATCAGCTTTTAAAAGATCAACTTGGTTTCAATGCAACTCTTCTATTAAAACCACCAGATCAAACATATACCGATTTCGTTCTGTCAGTAAGTGAGGGCGTTTATGACATTATCATTGCTGATGTTACTGTTACTTCTGCAAGAAGCAAAATAGTTGATTTTTCTAGTCCTATATATGATAATTCTCTACGTCTTGTCGTGAGACAAGCAAACAATGCTGGTATCGATTTATTTGCATTCTTAAAACCATTTTCATATAGATTATGGATATTAGTTCTAGGAACTTGCATTTATGCAAGTATTTTAATGCTTCTTATAGAAAGAAGAAAGAATGAAGATTTACAAAATCGATCAATTATATCTCAATTAACACTGAGCATATGGTATTGTTTTGGCTATATGGTTGGATTCGGTTCAGAATTTAATGCACGTACAGCTGGAGGACGTCTATTAACTGCTGGCCTCTATATATTATGTTTAATATTAGTAGCATCATATACTGCTAATTTAGCATCAGATCTAACCGTAACGAAATCACAATTTGTTATATCAGGAATAGATGATATTAAAAGTGGAACAGTACCAATAAATGGTGTTGGTATTGACGTCGGTACAGCTACGCAAG